TCATCAAATTGTAGATCTGACCTAAAATTTTCAGGTCAACCCGTCGGGTCATCCGACCCGTCAGGTCAAATTTGGAATTCTACTGCCAATCATGGTTTTCTTCTGAAGAGGTTCTTCTTTATTTATAGTTAGAGAGTCGAAGCGAGTATGCAAGTTGCAGTTATTATTTTGTAAAAATTTTTGATTTTTTTCTTTTCCCATTTTTTTGTTTTTGGAGAGAGAGGGAAAAAGTTTTTTGATATGCAAAAATAATTTTTTTTTTTTCTTTTTTTTTTTATTAAGTATGGCAGTCTCGCATGATCTTTATTAATATTTGTGAGATTACAAGAAAAACAAAATAAAACAGAAAATACAAAAATATCTATAAACTAATTTAGAGAATTAAACTACTTTATTAATACTAATCTTGCACTTTACCGAATTAAACTATACATCAGAAGAGAAAAGAAACTAATCTAAACTAAAATACAGATATCAAATGTCTGGAAGGGAGGGCGTGGTTACTGCCATACCAAAAATTTGACCAGTGGGAACCAAAAGCAACAGCTGCTGTAAAGGAGGGGGTTGCTTTGTGGAGTTTAAAAAAATCTAAGGAAACCAGAGGTAACTCAAGCAACAGTGAAATCATCTTTGATGTTATTCGAAGTTTTCCAATGTTGAAGTGATTCACATCTTGCTAACCATATATTGTAAGCAAAGGAGAATATATCATTAAATAAAGATGATAATAAACCAAGGGTGAATTGCTTGTTATTTGTGATGGAGTTTATTGAGACAGAAAATGATGAGGGAACAATTCCTTTCAGAAGATCAATAAAGCATAAGTTGTTGTTGAAAGAATTGCAATACCATATCACTGATTGCTCAATATTATCAATTTGAGCATCATTGTTGGGTCTATTGAGTTCATTGAGGTGAGATAAGAATGATCATTTATGTTTTTGGATTATGTCGGTAAGAGAAATTATATTTTTAGTACAAGACCAAATGTGTTCAAAGTCCTCAATTGCAGTATTACAATGGAAGCAAGTACTAGTGATATATATTTGAGAATACCATGCATTCATGACTGACAAGGTCAGAAGCAACTGTAATAACAGTTTTATTTTGAATTGTTTCTTTTTACATGCATTGAATGATGTTACTCTAGCATTTTCTGAGTCATTAAGGATATAAAAGAGGGTTTGCCAATCAACATGAAAGTTGCTGTATTTAGCAAGTTGAGGGAGGGTTAAAAATGTTTCAGCCCATGATGCTTGTTGCAAGTGTTTAATAAATAAATGGGATGGCGTGATGATCAGTGTGTTATTATAAAGTATAGAGTATTTAGGACTAAAGTGATTGCTGTTAATACATAACGGGATACCAGAAAGTTATTTTGCTAAAGTATCTACTTTGTTGTTATATTGATCTGATCCATAAACTTTGACTTTTATCAGTAATAACGTAATATTGTTAGTTGTAATAAGCTGCATTACAATCATCCAAATATAGAAGTATGGAATTTTAAAAGTAGGGTTTAGAGAGGGGGATTCCTCGCATATAGTAGTGACTTTATGATATGAAGCAATTGCAGCTTGTGAGTCAGTACAGATTTCAATATTGGAATTTAGAGGGCGGTGTATGTTGCAGCAAGAATAGCAACTATTTCTACTAATGTTGAAGAGGGAGAGTGTAAAACAAGTGTTGCATTGAAGGAGAGCAAAGGTCAGTTTTAATCAGTTTGTAATCACGCTATTCCCATCTGGCAGTCAGGAGATCCTAAGGATGTAAGAGAACCATCTGTATAAAATTGAAGAGCATTAGCATTAGTGAAATGTGATTTAAGACAATCTAAAGTATTGATGGATGTTTGATCAAAAGGAGAATATCTAAATTAGATGGCAGTTTGGTTGGGTATTGATAAAGAGATATCAACGTTGATAAGGTCATACCAATTTAATTCTATGTTTAACATAACATAGAAAATGATAATAAAGAGGGGGAGAGAATAAAAAAAATATATATAATATAATCACGTGTTAAAATGCTATAATTTTATTGGTTATATAATATTATAATGTATAATGATTTTTATTTTATAAATCTATATTTTACGTTTTTTTGAAACATGTTTACTAGTTTTAATCTCTCCTTTAGTATGGAAGTCTTTTTTATTTTCATAACATACTTCACATAATGGATATATTTGTTTAAAACGTTCTTTCAATGATTGAGAAGGTGTTATCAAATCTTCTTTTTCTTCACAATAATAACAGATTGGATAATTTCCTGATTTACGACTTGAGTAATATAATATTTCAATTAGTGAATCACAATTAATTTGTATACGTATAAATACTGTTTCTTTTAAGTAATGATCATCAGGAAAAATTGGTACACCACAAGAGTATGAATATGATTCTAATGCTTGTTGATAGTTATATTCTTCCTCGTCATTTAAAACTTTATTGCTGTATACACAATGACGTTTTTGACAATATTCACAACTAATATAATCATGAATTTTTCCTCCAACTAAAATACTTTTTGGAATTAACTCTGCATTTATCTGTAACTGCATATATGTTAGTCTAAATTCTTCAGTAGTTTCCATTTCATAAACATGTTGAAAAGTTGCATAATGATCTGTATTATCTATTTTAAAAATTATTAGTATTTAAATTAAATTAAATATTAAAATATATAAATTTACCTGATGAAGGAATTGGATCTGAAAGAAAATTCAAATTACAAAATTCATTCAATGGAAAACGAATTGGTTTACAGTATGGACAGGTAATATTGTTGCATTTTTTTATCTTAAAAATTAATATTAATTAGAATACAAAAATTATTTAATTATAATACAAATTTATAATATATACCTGAAAACTATAAGCACGTACTCAACAATGAGTATTTATAAATTCAATTAATGCAGAATATCGACGCATTTGTGCTTGTATAGTTTCTTCAATTGTTAAAGTTGAATCTATATCATAAATTGCCTATATAAAATTATATTATAAATTAATAAATTATAATATTTACAATATTTGCATAAATAAATTTATTAAATATATTTAATTTTTTACCTCAAATAATTCTTCAATTCTTTTTTATCTGCTGGATTATGACATTTAAATTTATTTTTTTTAATTTAAGTCATTCTGTTTGATTCTTTAGTATTTCTTTAATACCTACTATACTTTCTTTTAATTCAGATTCTAATTTATTTAATTTTTGAGCTTTTTTATGAATATCATCTAAGGTATTTACTGTATCAAATAAATTTTCCGATTTAGAATTCATTGAATCACATTTAAGTGCTACACCTTGAAGATCCAAATTTAAAGTATTTATAATACGTTCTGCTGGATTTGTCCAACTATGATTTGGAGCTGTACAAACTGCAATAAGCAAATTGAAATTTCCATAAAGAAAAAGACTAATCAATGCAATTTGTACTGATCCATAATTGCATCAATGATCTGGACCTCCATCGGTATAAAGGCATAAAATTGGTGGTATTGTTTGATTTATATATTAGATATTAAGTGCATTTAAAAATTCGGCTGAATGTCTAATAGAAATACTTGGTTCAAAAATTGTATTCTTATAAGATACAAATACCTGACCCTTATAAAATGATCCTGAAATATCGTTAAGAATTGTTATAAAAATGTAACCAACGGAGTTAATGAAAGTTTTGTAAAATCATGATCAGCTGCAGCTAAGATATCATTTTGAGTTACTATAGAACGTCAATTTCGTACACCTGTAGAAACTGCAACATCTTCTCCAATAGGAATTTTATGCTTATCATCTGCAGAAATTAAGCAAGTTCATTGACGATATTGAATACAAAATTCCCTAAGATATCGAAAAAGTGCTGCACAATAATGTGCATCATCACTATTTTTTCAAAGCAGTCGACTTTGCACTTTAAATTTTACATTAAATCGACTAGTATGAAATATTGATTGTGTTGTTGTAACATTTGTAAGACAAAACTGAAGACGAATTCACTTATTTGATGGAATATGAATGTTGAAAGGAAGAGGATCACTATGAAGATTTTTTAATCTTTCTATAATAATTTCATGAAGGTCATGAATAGATAAAGCTAATGGCATATATAGAATATTTCCATGACATCTTTCATTTACTACTAATAAATTCTAATAAATAAAATAATTTTAGAGCATTTTTCAATAAAAATATCTGATAAATAAATAGATATAAATCTTACTTGTTCATTAAAATAAGCTTTCGTTTCATTCCAAAATGTATTAAATTTTGTTTCATTAAATCCATTATTTACTTATAAATCAAATATTATTTCAGGGTTTGCTAGAGTTAACATTATTCGTAATCTCTTTTCAATATCACAAGTAATAGCATTTGAACTTACAGCAGCATCACTAGTAAGATCAAAATAAAGCATTCGTAATATAGCCGGTATAATTTTCTTGATATAGGAATACTATATAAATATTATGAGGTTAGATAATAGATTTATTTAAATATTCAAATATCAATTACATTTTCATTACCTTATTAAGCACATTCTTTCGCATTTGTCGTGTAAAGTAATGGGGTAAATTTTCGTGAATTCTAGCTAACATACATGCTTTCAAAGTTTCACTTTGTTCATCATTGAATATATCAGTTTCTGGGATTCTCCATACATAATTAATTATTCCTAAATAATTTCCTTGATAAATCTAGAAATAAAATTAATTGTTAACGATTTTATAAATAAGTTATGATATAATATTAAAATACTAACCTATATACACCTATTGGAAATGTTTCATAATATCAATTGGAAAAAATTCTTAAATATTGACATGTTCATAAAATGGTCTTTCAAATAGAAAATTATTCAATTGAATATAATCATCTTTGAGGCTATTATGATTACAAGCGGCAATTCGATATATAAAACTGTTATTATCAGAACTGCGAGCACTTTTATCACTATAATGAAGCTTGTTCATACTATTAGCGGTATTAACTAAATATTCAGAATATTTTTTTAAAAT